CAAATTAAAAATAACAGATATCTAAATATAGATAATACATAAAGAAACCAAAATTCTGAAGCCAATTCTCCAGTGGTTTCCATATGCTCTTGGAACAAAGATAGAAATAAAAATGTGTAACCCTATAGTTTATATATCTTTAGACATATTGGTCTTTCCTTCTCAAATTTGTAATCTACAGTTAAACACTGGTATGTCTCCCACTTAAAAACTATAGTTTCTTTGAAGCTTGCATCCTGGTCATTTTCACCTACCAACCTGGCAGCTTATGTCTGGGAACAAGTAAGCTTTCCTCTTGGTACTTAAACCTGACTGGTTACAAATGACCTAGGTATGCCACAACTCTGACACAACTTGACGTGCCATTTCAGTGCCAAAAAGAGGGGTGTCATGGGAAGAGTGAAGGAGTACTCTTCCCTATTCCCCAAAATGCAGCTAATGCCCTGGATATCAGATATAAAACACCAGAAGAAGATTCTGAAAGATGGAGAAGATGCAAGCTGGCAAGGCCCTTGGAGCCTGAGAACCACACAGCACTGAGTCCCACGGGTCTTCCTTCCGCCTCGTCTATCCCACGCTGGGTTCTGAAGAAGTTGGTAACCCAGAAATGCATGGCCACAGATGAAAAAAACAGGCCCAAGAAAAGCCTGCTCTTTCCAGCCAATGCACTAGGAAAGGAGCAGTCTGGCAAGACAAAGCTTTTAGACAGTAAGTACCCTCCTCCAGCCAAAGACCGTGGGAGAAAACGTCGGCCCTCTCCACAACAATGAAGGCCAAATAGGCAGCCTACACCTCCACCCTCACCAGGCTGTAACCCCACCCCAGAGTGGAGTCAGGGAAGGTCAGGTGGGTAGACAGGATTTTAAAACTGACCCCTTACCCCATCCCATCCCAGCAGTGTCATGGGAGACCACATGGGGACACTAGGGTTCCATCCCTACCCAGAGACCAGACATTGCTCCCTTTCCTTACTGGTTTGGTCAGCGGAGGCCTAGTGGAGTCAGGACCTCCACCAGTGACCAGTCATGAAATCACCCTCCACCCAACGCCACCATGGTGTCAGTGGAGGCCATGTGGGGAGCAGTAATGAAACACTCGGCCCCTCCCAGCCATGTGGTCAGTGGAGGCCTAGTGGAAAGCTGTAACTGCCATACTGCACAGCAATATTGAGGACCCCTGCTCCAATAGAAGCCAAAATGAAGCCAGACTTCCAACACCAACTTAAACCCTTTCTCCACCAGCGCGATGTACGAGGAGGCCTGTCCAAACAGAAGATTTAGAGATGGTAATCTCATAATACCTAAAATGGCCAGATTTCAACTGAAAATCACCCATTACCCCAAGAACCAGAAAAATCTCAACTTGAATGAAAAGACAAGCCACAGACACCAACACTGAGATGACCCAGATGTTAGAATGACTTATTAGATTAAAACAGCCATCATAGGGCCGGCAGAGTGGTGCGATGGTTAAGAACTGGCTTGGGACGCCAGAGGGCCCCGGTTCGGATCCCACATATGAGGCCCAGTGACACTGCCTTCCACAGCTAAGACGCTGAACAACAGCTCAACCTGGAGCTGGGCTGCTGTGAGTCGTAGGCTGCAGCCCCTGTGGCAGTGGGTTGCCATGGGATACCGTGTGTAGCCAGCAACCAGCGTGAGCGGCCAGCAGCTGCAGTGAGCAGCCGTCCAGAAGCCGGCCGGCGACTGATCTGCCTCGCCCGGGAAGAGTGCAATGATGGTGGCAAATTGGGCCAGTGAAGCAACGTCCTCCACAACTAGACTGAAGAACACGATAGCAACTTGTCTGTTCCCCTTCCCCCAATTCCCTAGCGCTGTTCCCATCCCCCAATTCCCCAATAAAAATCTTAAAAAAAAAATGCCTCAGTGAGCAATTACAAACATGCTTCACACAAATTTAAAAAGTTTCAGCAAAGAAATAAAATACAGAGAATCAAAAAGGACTGAAAAACACAACTGAAATAAAACCAATGATGCAGAATGGAAGAGACAGAGAAAAGCATCAGTGAACTTAGAGACAGAACAACAGAAAATACCCAGGAGAACGAGAAAATTGTTATGGACTGAATTGTGTCTCCCCAAATTCCTATGTTGAAGCCCTGACTCCCAGTGTGACTATATTTAGATAAGGCTTTTAGAAGGTACATAAGGTAAAAAAAAAAAAAAAAAAGGTGGGGGGAGCCATGACTGTGGGGTCCTAATCTGATGGGGTTGGTAGCCTCAGAAGATGAGAAGGATCTCTCTCTCTCCACACACACACACACACACACACACACACACACACACACACGCACACACTGAGGAAGGCTTGCGAGGGCACAGCAAAAAGGTGGCCAGGAAGAGAGCTCTCCCAGAAACCAAACTTGTCTCAGTTTTCCAGCCTCCAGAAGTGTGAGAAGTAAATTTCTGTTGTTTGAACCCTTGGTGTGTGGTATGGCAGCCTGAGCAGGCTAAGACACATTTTGGTATTGAGAAGTGGGGTGCTGCTTTAACAAATACCTAAACATTGGAACTGTATTCTCCCCAAACGGGGAGAGGCTGGAAAGGTTTTGAGGTGCACGCTAGAAATATGGGTGTTAAAGGCCATCCTGGTGAAGTCTCAGCAGAAATGAGGACACGTTAGTGGAAAAGGGAAGGTGACCCTTGTTGTAAAGGGGGAGCAGATGTGGCTAAACTGTTCCACCGTTTTGTGGGGGAACCTGTGAGCAATGAAACTGTATATTCAGCACAGGTTTCTAGGCAAAGTATTAAAGGTACAGCTTGGGTCCTCCTCATTGCTACAAGTAACATGTGAGAGATAAACTGAAGGAATCATTAAGCAAAAACAATATAGAGCTTGGAGATTTGGGAAAGTCCATCCCTCCATATTACAAAACATGAGAAAGCTTGTTCTGAATAGAACACCAAGGCTGTGGCCAAAACTCTTGGACTTTATCAGCCATCTCAGCAGAAGCCAGGAATTGAGGTGGGGTTCTACCAGCAGTAACACTGCCAGCTGAGACTAAAGCGGACAGGAAATACTGCACAAAATGTAGGTAGGCTGTCAGACTTCCTAGATCCTACAGGACCAGATAATAGAGCTATTCAGGTGCAAGTGTGGGCTACGCTTCAAGAAAATGGAAGGATGCCTCCATCAACCCAGAGATCGTAGGGCTGCCTCCTTAGTTTCAAAGTGTGGGGATGACCCCTTTGGGGTCAGTGCTGGCCTTGGTGGTGGAACCCCTGCCTCAGTGGGTCTGGAAGGCGAGGCATCAAGTGGAGAATTGTTCGCCTGCCGTAAGAGCTGATGGATTTGCCTCATTGGGCTTTGGACTTGCCTGTGACCTGTCACCCCTTCCTTTTTTTTTTTTAAATAGATGTTTTATTATTTTATTTATTTATTGGGGGAGGTGAACAGTGTTGGGGAATTGGGGAAGGGGACCAGCCAAGTTATTCTTCAATCTTAGTTGCAGAGGGCACCAGTTGCCATCTGGCTGCCTGTCGGCAGCTCGTGGCCTGTAAGCTCAAGGTGCTGTGTTACAATCTTAGTTGCGGGTGGGCGTAGCCACCATCCCATGCAGGAGTTGAACCAGCAGCCTTGTTAAGAGCGCACACTCTATCCACTGAGCCATCCAGGCAGCAGCTCAGCTCAAGGTGCCCAGTTCAGTCTTAGTTGCTGGCGGGCATAGCCCACCACCAAACAGGCAGTCTTGTTGTTAGGAGAACATGCTCTCACCAGCTGAGCCATCCCGCCACCTGTTGGCAGCTCAGCTTGGGTGCAGCTTCACTGGCTCATGTGGGAAACGAACCAGTGGCCCTTAAGCTAACTCTTAACCAACTGAGCCACTCGGCTGGCTCCCCCTTCCTTCCTTCTTATTCCTCTCTTGTGGAGTGGGAATGCTGTCCTGTGCCGACCCCACCACCATGGCTTGGAAGTACATAACTTGTCTGGTTTCACAGCTCACAGCTGGCTGGAGCGAACCCTACCTCAGGATGAATTGTACCTTGCGTTTCATTCATATCTGATTTATGTGGTATTTGGAAGAGACTATAGAGTTGATGCTGGAATAAGTTAAGACTTTGGGGGGTTGTTAGAATGGAATGGATGTACTTTGCAAATGAGAACATGAATTGGGGGGGCAGGGGCAAAATATTATGGACTGAACTATATCTCCCCAAATTCATATGTTGAAGTGCTACCTCCAAATGTGACTGTATTTGGAGATAAGGCTTTTTGTAGGTAATTAAGGTTAAATGAAATCATAAGCTGGGATCCTAATCTGAGAGGGCTGGTGGCCTTTACACAAGAGGAAAACTTCAATGTCTCTCCCTCCGTCCCTCCCTCCTTCTCTCTCTCCCACATACACACCAAGAAAAGGCTGTGTGAGGACACAGCAAGAAGGTGGCCCTCTGCAAGCTGGGAATAGAGGCCTCACCAGAGACCAGAGCTGATACCTTGATCTTAGACTTCCCAGCCTCCAGAACTGTGAGAAATAAATTTCTGCTGTTTGAAACACCCAGTCTAGTCTATGGTATCTTGTTATGGTAACTTGAGCAGACTAAGAGCAAAAATTTACTGGGGAAAAACAAGCAAACAAACAAACAAAGCCTCAGAAACCTGTGGGATGAAAACCAAACACCTAACATTTGTGTCATCAGTGTCCTGGAAGGAGAGAAGGGGTAGGAGTGGGCTGAAAATGTATTCTAAGAAATGATGGCTGAAAATCCCCCAAATTTGGCAAAAGGCATAAACCTACAGATTCAAGAAGCTCAGCAAACAGGACAAACTCAAAGAAATCCAGGGGGTGGCCGGTTGGCTTAGTTGGTTAGAGCTCAGTGCTTATAAAACCAAGGTTGCCGGTTCAATCCCCACATGAACCACTGAGATGCGCCCTCCACAGCTAGATTGAAACAACTACTTGACTTAGAGATGATGGGCCCTGGAAAAACACAGTTCCCCAATTAAAAAAAAAAAAGAAAGAAATCCACACAAGACACAGCTCAATCAAACGTCAAAGCCAAAATTACAGCACTCAAAATGTTTCCAGTAATAACCGTCAAAGTTTCAATGAAAAAAAGATGTCATCTGCCTCTACCCAAGAGTAAAATGGTGAAAAGCAAAGATTTCAAAGTCTTTTCAAGTTTTTTACAACCTAATATGCAGTGGCAGTTCAGGTGTGCAGCTAAATGGTACCATGGTATGAAAAGGTCTAAGGTACAAACTATATACAATGGAGGTAAACCTTCATAAATAAGCACGTTGTCAGGTAACTCAGATAGCTTAAAACAGACAGAAAATGTCAAAGGTCCCTCTGTACTCCCTCTTTCTAGGCTGCAGGCCTGACCCTCGGAGTTAATGATTCTAAGTAGGAGATGTCTCAGTAAGCAAGGTCTACAAGGCACAGAGTGCAGAAGCAAATTGCCCAGCCATTGTCCCCTGGCTTTGGGGAAGCTGCCTTTGTGGAAACTGCAGTTGACCAACTCATGGTCTCATGCTTTTCCTGGGTGTGAGTACTCATCCGAATAGTTGTCTCTATCGTTTCTTGAGCTCATTCCCCCAGCTTTTTCTCTACAGTTTCCATGTACCTCCTTTGTGGCCTTGCACTTAGACTAAGGGCAAATTCCCTTCCTCCCACCACTCTTGACCCCTGACAAAGTCATTGTAAATTCTCAACCTGTTATTTCCCTAAAAGAACCCCTGATTTCTTTAAAAGTCCATGTCTTTGGCACTAAGAGACTGCCTAGCCCAGCCAAGATGCCCTCTTTCCGCCATGGCATATCCTACTTGTCTCGAGAATTCAGTAGCTTACATACATATTAGAGTGTCAGAAATAATTTTCCTCTATCCCATGGGAAATTCACAATGTCCTCCATTAGGATATTTAAAAATTGTAAACCCCCTCTTTCACTTTCTAAGTAAGCTCCATCCCATATCAACAAAGACAGATCATTAACATATTTTTTGTAACACAGTTAAAGTTCTTTGCAGCCCTCACATCGTGGATAGTAAATGTTCTATAAATATGTTCTGAATTTACCATGTTTACAGTCTTTATCCAGTATGAATTCGCTTTTGTTGACCAAGGGCTGAATTGCCAGTGAGGGCTTTTCTGTATTCCTTGACTTTCCCTTCAGCATGAGTTTTCTGGTGCTTTGTGAGAGATGAGCTCTGGCTGAAGGCTTTCCCACAATCCTTACACTTGTAAGGTTTCTCTCCAGTGTGTGTTCTCTGATGACGGATAAGGGCTGAGCGGTCACTGAAGGCTTTGGCGCAATCGTTGCATTTGTAGGGTTTCTCCCCTGTGTGAGTTCTCTGGTGTTGAGTGAGGGCTGAACAGTAGCCAAAGGCTTTCCCACATTCGTTACACTCATAAGGCCTCTCCCCAGTATGAGTTCTCTGGTGCTGGATGAGGCCTGAACGATCACTAAAAGCTTTCCCACATTCATTACACTTGTAGGGTTTTTCTCCAGTGTGAATCACCTGATGCTGGGTAAGGAATGTGCTTTGGCTGAAGGCCTTCCCACATTCATTACACTCATAAGGTTTCTCTCCGGTGTGAATTCGCTGATGTTGAGTGAGGTATGAGCTCTGATTAAAGGCCTTCCCACACTCACTGCATTCATAGGGCTTCTCTCCAGTGTGAATTATATGATGCCGAATAAGGGCTGAGCGGTGGCTGAAGGCTTTCCCACACTCGTGACATTTGTAGGGCTTCTCTCCGGTGTGAATCCTCTGGTGCAGCGTTAGGTGTATGCTCTGGCTGAAGGCCTTGCCACACTCATGACACTCGTAGGGCTTTTCTCCTGTGTGAATTCTCTGATGCAAGACAAAAGCTGAGTAGTAACTAAAGGCTTTCTCACACTCACTACACTTCCAAGGTTTCTTTCCTGCACAAATTTTCTCAGGCCGCATTACATTTGCATTTTGCTTTAAGTTCTTTTTAAATGAATCACAATTACGTAGTCTCTCTCCTTGTTGAACAAGTAATGACCTCCGATTAAAATTTCTTCCAAATTCGTCACACTGGTAACTTCTCTCCCTAGAAGATTTCTTCTGAGTGACGACCTCTTGTAGTAAATGTTTCTCATGGTTTTCCTGCTGACTCTCTAAAGAATCCTCACTTCCACTGGCACCTTCCTTTGGAAATCTTTCTGTTAACACCCCAGGGGCTGATTCTTCTCCCAAAACGTCCTGCTCTGTGATTAGCTCCTTGCTTTCTGGTATTGTCTCCCAGTCTGACAGAAACAAAAATGCACATGTATCATTTTCTACACTGTGAGTAAAGTAATCATTGTGATAGAAAAATAATCAAACAAACAAAGAAACAAAAAATGTTCACCGAGAACACAAAGCTCTCAAAAACAGACTTGCAATTTGAAAGGATATAAGAAAAGAAAGATAACTGGGCAGAGAAGTGCAGCTGCACACAGGGGAGGGTGAGCAGGCATTCACAATCCTTTGTCCAACTGGACAAGAAAGGGGAAAGAACAATGGAACGAGACTAAGCAGAGGTGATATGGGGAAATGGCAGATAAAAAACGATGTCTGGGGAGACAGGACTGGGATCAGAGAAAGAGACCATCCCCTCCCCAGAGCCTCACCACTTCACACCTTGAGCATCAGCATCATTATGGCATCTACCAGAATGTCCAATCACTGCCAACAGACTAACCTTCCAAAACTTTCCCTCTCACACAAAAACCTGTTGGTTCCATTGTCTCTAGAGGACGCACAAATTCTAGAAGTTAGCATTCAAAGGGGTCCAAATCTACAAAATCAAATCATCACAAAGCTGAGTGGGCTGGCCTAGTGGCTCAGTTGGTTAAGAGCGTGGGCTCTGAGCAACAGGGTCACCGGTTCAATTCCCACACGGGCCAGTGAGCTGCACCTGGGCTGAGCTGTCAACAGGTGGCAGGATAGCTCAGCTGGTGAGAGCACATGCTCCTAACAACAAGGTTTCCGGTTCGACTCCCACATGGGATGGTGGGCTATGCCCACCTGCAACTAAGATTGAACACGGCACCTTGAGCTGAGCGGCCTCGAGCTGCCGACGGGTGGTCGGATGGTGGCTAGACTTGGAGTTGATCTAGCTGCGCCCTCCACAACTAAGACTGAAGGACAACAACTTGGCTGTTCCCCTTGCCCAATTCCCCAACACTGTTTGTTCCCCTTCCCCAATTCCCCAATAAAAAATAAATAAATAAAATTTAAAAAAGCTAAGTAAGAAGCAACTGGTCACCTCCGATGCCCCCACAAATTGGAAAGAGTGATACAGAACCAAGTTCTTTTTTTTTTTTTTTTAAATGAGTAGCATGTAGGGAGGAGAAGGTCAAATCCTCATGTGCTCAGATTGGTCCCCCACCTGTCAGGATACCTGTCCTCAAAATCCTGGGCTTCCTACTAAGAGTTTAAGGGGGAAAGCTTCACTGCTAACACTATTTAAATATGTCCAGGCTTAAATGGTCATTAATGTCCATTCCAACCATGATTCACCTGAAATAAATCAATAGGATCCCATGTTCTCAACTACATATCATAATCAGGGAAGTGCCTGGGATTTTAAAGGACAAATAGGTAGAAATAGGTTAAAGGCAAGTGGATTTACAGCTAAGGGGGTGGAAAGAATTAAAGCACCAAATGCACATGGAACACACGTGGTTAGTGCAGGGGAGTAAGACATGCCTGCCTCGTGTTAGGGGTTCAAGTCGGAGAAGAGAGGAGGTAGCATGGTCAGGTAGTTAGACCGACAAAGGCCTTGAAAAAAGGTGGAGAATACAGAACTGGTAAAGTAAGCCATGCACGGTGGAGAATCTAGCATATTCTGCTGCCTCAATTGGACAAGATTAGACTAAAGAAAGTACGACCAGCGGCTAGCCTACTGCAGTTCTGCAGTCTGACAGAAGCAATAGGGCCAAATCCAAGGCATTATTCAAAAGCAGTTACCAGGACTTAATCGATAGTCACCACTTGCTTAGCGTATGTACAGCCAGGTACTGTTCTAAGCATTTCTCTTGGATTTTTTCATGTGATCCTGATAACAACCCTATGAGTTAAATGCTCTCATTACCCTCATTGTACAGCTGGGGAGTCTGAGTCACAGAGAAGGTAATTCACTTGTTAAAGGTCACAGAGCTAGTGAGTAGCTGAGATTGGTTTTGAACCCGGGAAGACTGGAATCAAAGTGCACTCATAACTATATGTTATGCTGCCTCTGCATAGGAAACGTAGAGATCAATTTATACTCATTGTTCTGAGACAAAAAGCCACATTATCCTGCAAAGACCAAATAACATATATGAAAAAGCCTGGTTTAAAGGCTTGCACCCAAGCAAATTACTAACAAACATTAAAATGTTGATTTCATTTCAGGAGTGGAAAGTGTTTACTTTCTGAAAAATAAAATTATGACATCCATAGAGGGAAAGTGTGACACAGGAGGAAGGGACTTGCACTTTTCTGTGGGTCTAGCAAAATCTGGAAAGGCTCCTCCACAAGCATTTCAAAGATGCTTTTCCCACTGACCATCTGGGTTTATGTCCACTATTTCCAACACTCACTCACCTGGACTGGCTGCTTTCGAGACTTCTCTCTCCAGCTCCTCCCCACACTCCAACTGAGAGATTACATCAGGCTTGGAAATCAGAAGCCCTGTTCATGGGGAAAGAAAAAGAGGGTCTGGTAAAAAAGCTCAGGGTTAGCTCCTTGGTTGTTAGGGAAGACAGCATGAGATAGAGGAGGAGGGAGGGGGAGAGGGAGAGAGGAAGGGGGAGGGAGAGAAGGAGGGAGAGATGGAGG